CCCCCACCACCCCACCCCTCAGCTCCTGCTGATTAAAACCATCAAACTTCCTGCGCATAAGCAACTAGACCACTTTACAGCGTTTCCTCCTGAACATTCTAAGCAGAAACCAAGACACTGGACCCCCACGTCCCATCTCCTCATCTTTTCCACTTAGTTTGCCTTGGATCGGCTTCCCGCTGGCTACACCCGCCCACCTGCTTCTTCAAAATCAGTCTGTGGCTGCATGGTCATGCTGGGTCACCAGCCGCAGACCTGGTGAGAACGGCCTCTGGTAATAATGATAATGATCGTTACGAGAAGCATTATTTTATCACTTTTACGATAAGTTACATTTGTGTGTTAGGTGATAGGGCTGGGGTTGTGGCTCAGTGGTAAAGCGCTTGCCTAGCCCATGTGAGGCACTGGATTCCATTCCAGCATCACATAAAAATAAATGAATAAATAAATAAATAAAAGGTATCATGTCCATCGACAACTAAAAAAAAATTTTTAAGTAAACAAAATAACAGGTGATATTCATTGAACACCTATTATGTGCCTCATAACAATCCTAGGAAGTGAGCATGATATTATCCCCATTTCCCAGAAAATCAATATTATTATTATCCCCATTTCCCAGAACATCAGCCCCGCCCTGCTCTGGGCTCCACACTGTTCCCAGCATCCGGAACAGTACTCAGCACACAGTAAGTACCTGGCAACGGAAAGAAGGAAGACACAGATGGACACACAGAAACTAAGTGATTCTTTCAGCCTCTCAAGGGCTGGGGATGGAACTCACGGCAGAGCCCTTGCCTAGGGTGCCTGAGGCCGAGTTCAATCCCCAGCACTTCTAAAACAAACTACCCAGTTTCTTTCAGTTTTTCAAGATGACAAGTGCCCTTAGATGCGCGTCTCTGCGCATGCGTGCTTGGCCATCTGCCAGTCTGGCTGGAACTTCTGCCCTGGGAACTCCAGGGTGGAATTCACTGCCGCTGAATGTGGGGTCCCCTTCCCTGACCCGCAATCCTACCCCTTCCTGGAAAAGCACGCACATGCTGGTCAAAAGCCCAGCTGGGGACACACCTGTACAGTCACACCTTGGCATGGTCTACAGCTGGGGGAGGGAACAGGGACGGAGTCCATGACATCGCACTGAGGACTGAATGATTCCATTCACGTCAAGTTCAAGCACAGGCAAAGGAGCAGGCTGTGGTGGCCCACGCCCGCAATCCCAGCTCCCTGGGAGGCCGAGGCAGGAAGATGGAGAGTTCAAAGCCAGCCTCAGCCATTTAGTGAAACCCCAGCAAATCAGCAAGACCCTGTCTCAAAATTAAATAAATAAATAAATAAATAAATAAAAAGGACAGGGGATGCGGCTCAGTGGTTAAGTATCCCTGGGTTCAATCCCTGGTGCCAAAAAAAGATAGAGGGACTCTGGGGTCATGAGCAACTATCCTTGTGGAGCCCTGCCCCCCGGGACACCAGGGATGGGGTTCATGCTAAGGCTGGATACATGGGTGTGTTCCGTTTATGAAGAGTCACAGGGCTGGGGTATGACTCAGTGACACAGCTGCTGCCTGGCACATGTGAGGTTCTGGATTCCATCCCTGGCACCAAAAAAAAAAAAAACAAAAAACAACACCCTCTCAGAGCTGCAGTGCTCCATGTGTGTAAGTCACACACCAGCGAGGACCGCCAGCCGCTGAGTCAGTCGCCAAAGCTAAAGGCTCGCTCAGCAGGCGCCAAGGCTCGCTGCTGTGCTCAACAGCTTCACCAGTTACTGCAAGAATTCCTGCGGGTCACAGAGGGACAAAGTACAACCAAATGTGACAAAATAGGTCCCCACCTTCACAGGGGTTTTCTGGGTGGGCCGCCCAGGGCTGTGACATGAATTCCAATGTGGCCACAATGAGACTTCCCCTTCCCGTCCCAGATTCTGAAAGTAAGGATCTAGGAGGCCAAGGTGGTGAAGCCCCTCCCCTCCCTCCCTCCCTCCTTACCTTGTCTTCCAAGAAGTCCTCGGTGTCTTCAAACACCACTTGGGATTGCAAATTGGCCCTGTTTGCCGGGTTCCTATTGGATTCTCCAGGCACTGGCCCCGGCAAGGCTTTTTAACCAGGGAAAACAGGAGTGGCCTGGTCCCGGCCCCAGGGTGTGTTTGTCCTGTCTTCTTCCCATGACGCACACATACCATAATTACAGGGCCGCCGGGAAAGGTCGAGAGGGCTCGGGAGGTGGAAGGTGGTGGAAAACTGACCCTGTCCCAAACCCTAATCTTGAGGTCACCAGCTTCCTGGTGTAGTGTGACCTCCAGGGTTTGGTGGTCTTGGCTTGGCTTAGGACACCCACAGCACCCTTCAAGGTCCTTCCGGCAAGAACCAACGGCCCCCTGCCCCCCTTCCCCTGGCTTCCAGCTTCGTGTCCAGCCTTCCCTCCTGGTATCCGCAGACAGATAAATACTCGGCCTTCCTCGAACGTTCCAAGGAAAACATCCTGCCCCAAAAGGTCAAGACAGCTGAGCACTCTCATCCCTTCTCTGGGCCTCAATTTTCCACCTGTAAATGGGAAGACAGTTGGCCGTAGTGGTTCTTATTGTGTTTTTCTTTATGTCTTGTTACCAGGGATTGAATCCAGGGGTACTTAACCACTGAGCCACATCCCCAGCCCTTTTTATATTGAGACAAGTTCTGGCTAAGTTGCTTAGAGCCTCGGTAAGTTACTGAGTATGGCCTCCAACTTGTGATCCTCCTGCCTCAGCCTCCCTAGTCGCTGAGATTACAAGGTGCATCACTGCACCCAGCATCATAGTGGTTCTTAACCGCCTCTCCTGTTCACCATGGCTGAAAACCTGAACTCGGGAGCCAGGATGATAGGATTCATCTTCTAGGTCCACTGTTGTTGGTGAGTTTTAGGTCTTGGTCTCTCTGAGCCTTCACTGCCTTATCTGTGAAGCAAGAGGATGCAGTGAACACTAAATGGGTGACTGCATTTAAAACCCACAGACCGGCACCTGGCACCTGGTGCAGGTGGCCCATCCCTTATCCAAAAGCTTGAGACAAGAGTGTTTCTGATTTTGGAATATTTCCTTATGCCTAATGCCAAATCTTGGGGATGTGACAAGAAGTCCAAACACGAAAATCACTTGATGTTTCATATATAACTAGAGCCTGAAGATAATTTTTCGGGGTGGGGGGACAGTCCTGGAGCTAAAACCCGCTAGCCACATCCCCAGTCCTTTTCATTTTAAGACAGGGTCTACATTTCCCAGGCTGGCCTCCTGCCTCAGCCTCTCGAGGAACTGGGATTGCAGGTGTGCATGCCACACCTCGTCCAGCTGAGACTAAAGGTAATTTTATGCAGTATTTTCAGTGCATCTGTATTTTGACTGTGACTCCTCCCATGAGGTCAGGGGTGGAATTTTCCTCTCGTGGTATCCCGAGAGTATGCAAAGAGTCTCAGATTTTTGGAATATTTCAGATTTTTAGATTTCCCGATTAGGGAGGTTCAGCCTGTATACAGCTAGGTACGTGTTTGTTAGATTAACAACACGAGGCCCTGGGTTCTATCCAGCACAGAGAGAGAGAGAGAGAGAGAGAGAGAGAGAGAGAGAGAGAGAGAGACCAGAACAGACTAAATATTCTTAGGACGCATGCACCCTGTAAGAGGAAGTAGCCGCAGCCCAATTCGGGAACCTCTCCATTCAGCAGATTTTTCTGCCCTCCCCTCTCCCTCTGCTTGCTTCAGGAGTTGAGGGGGATATATTTATACTTTTGTTGCTGTTTGATGCTGTTTGAGAATAGAATCATGTTGTTAGAGGAAGTCATCTCTGAGTCAAGAAGCTGGAACTGGCTCTGTGACGCAAGCATCTCTGGTCACCTTCTGGGTGACCCTGTCTTGGCTGAGCCTGACCCCTCCCCCATAAAGACAAACTTCCCCTGGGTCCCCTCAGCAGGTCACGGAGTCATTGGCATAAGGTTCTCTGATTCTGGGTGGCAAAGTTTTTGTGGTGTCCCAGGAGCTAGAGGCTCTTACTTGGGGACACGGTGGGGGGGGTGAACTATGCACAGGGCCCCTACAGGCCTAGGGGAGGCCCTGGGGGGCTCATTCTCAGCTACCCTGTGGGGGACGGAGCACAAACCGCCCGGCCACCAGCCATTTCTTCCCAGGAGAAACCTAGAATGAGAAGATCCTAGAAAATGATCAGGTCGGCTCATGTAAAGTGGCCATTTCTGTAGGTCCAAGGAAATCATGGAAAATCCATAGACACAAGCTGATCTGCAGTTTTAGGGGCTGGGGAGGGAGGGATGGAGGAGCCATTGCTTCAGGGGCAAGAGGTTTCCTCTTGGGGTGATGAAAATATCCTGGAGCTCGACAGCAGGTAACAATTGCACAACTGTTCACAACCCGTTGAGCCTACTAAACGCCACTGATAGGAAACTTTATGGCACGTGCACTTTACCACGAGTTTTCAAAAACAACAAGTAGCCAGGTGCGGTGGCGCAGGCCTGTGATCCCAGCCACCTGGGAGGCTGGGGCAGGAGGATTGCTAGTTCAAGGCCAGCCTCAGCAACTTAGTGAGATCCCACTCCAAAATAAAAAAGTAACAGGAGCTCAGAGTATAGCTCAGTGAACCCCAGGTTCAACCACCAAAAAAGAAAAAAAAAAAAGGTAAGTAAACTGTTACCTTCCCACACCCCAAAGTGAATCGGATCATTTTATTGGGTTCAACCTAATGGAATGACAGGAGGTAGGGTGAGCGGCTAAGATGGGGAAGCATAACCTCATTTCCCTTTCGAACAATATGCTGTCAAACGACACATATTAGGTAATACCGATGCATGAAAAAGAATGCCTTAACCCATGCTCAAGTTACTAAACACAATCATAAACTAGACACATGAAACCACATCCTAGAGTCTTTGAATATCTAGATCAAGGGTGAGTGTCCATGTTTTGGTTGTTTTTTGGTTACTGTACCTGGCTACTACAGACTGCATAATTTGTCAAGAATAAAGGTTTATTCCTCTTACAGTTCTGGAGGCTGAGAGATCCAAGAGAGAGGAGCTGCCTCTTGGGAAGGCCCTCTTGCTGGTGGCAGCATAAGGACATCACATGGTGACTCAGGGTAAGCTCAGGTCTCTCTCCTCTTTTATAAAACCAGTTTCATTACATTAGGGCTCCATTCTTTTGGCCTAACTTAACCTTGATTACCTCCCAAACGTCTCACCTCCAAACATCAGAGACAGATTAGTTCCATCCCTCCTTATGCCTCAGGATGGAGAGTAAATTTCCTGAGTTTTTTTTTTTTT